GAACTGTTCAATATTGAGACTTTTTGATTAATGTCTTCGTCGCGCGCGAGGAAAACGCGAGAGATGAAAGTATCTTTCGAAACTGAAAGATACGCTCATGAACCACGATAGCTACGGACATGTAGCAATGGTGGAGAACAGACTGTTGCGTTCAGCTAGTGATGCGTAGACATGAGTACTTGCATGAGTCCACGACCATGTCAACCATATTCCTCGGATGTGTGGTATGTTCAAGCGGACTTCATCGACAGTGGTCATCACGGTAAGCACCAGATTGATATACAGTGTCGTAGAATTTCAAGCTCATATGAAGCACATTGCATCACTGAACCGACGCGGAGTAGTGGAAACCGTATCGTGCTCTGTGATTATTCAAATCTCTTTCGTTGTGCACGATAGATCAATCCTTGAAATCCGAGATGTTCCGTATGAAAGTACACGGTAGTGTATGCTACCTTCCCGATAGACTGATTGTGTGAGTAACATGGGGCTCGCCCGCCCAGACGTTTCCAACAGTTCGTAACAGCTCATAACCGTGCCAGCATGGAACATCCGATTATCCAGGCCCTACGATTCGCTTGATCTCTGTAAGTAGCGCTCCACCGTGGAGCCTTGATGAGCACTGATCATTGGCCTGGAGCGAGTGCCTCTTCAGTTTCTAGTCCTTCTTGAAATTCTCATATGATCTCGGCAGTCTTCGCAAGCCTTCTGTGGTATGGCGGAGCTCTCACTCCGATAGATCCCAATCACGCATGTACCTCGGCATGTGAGTCTACGTCAAGTTGTTCTGAGGATCCTCAAGCTCGCGGTTCCTACTGCAAATATTGGTTGAGCCCATCCACATGTTTCGGTTTCTATGTTCGAGACGATGGCTCACTGTGTTATCAGCCCAACGACCCCACTTGTGATGACAGTGTTCTCCCTCCACTCTCTTGTAAAGTGTCTCCACTGGTGACGACTGAGTCCCCGCTCGCAGAGGGTGACAGTCTGCCTGACGACGATTATGATGACACGGTGGAGCCACCGGCCAAGACTAGTGCGTTTCGCCCACCTGATACCACAGCCGAGCCTCCAACGGGAACCAGTACTGTTCTCTCAGCTGTGACTACCGAGCCCGAAAGGGAGACATCTGGTGGACCATCAAACCAGGCTACTGTGCCATATACTGGATTTACTGACGAGCCATCAGTCAAGACTACTGGCGATCTTCCAGTTGAGATCACTGCTGAGTCTCCGGTCAAAACTACTGCCGAGCCTCCGGTCGAAACCACTGCCGAGCCCTCGGTAGACACCACTTTCGAACCCCCGCTCGATACCACGGCTGAGCGTTCGATAGAGACCATTGCTGAGCGTTCGGTGGAGACCCCTGCTGAGCCTCCGGTAGAGACGACTGCTGAGCGTTCGGTAGAGACCACTGCTGAGCTCCCGGGAGAGACCACTGCTGAGCTCCCGGTAGAGACCACTGCTGAGCCTCCGGTAGAGACTACTGCTGAGCTCCCGGTAGAGACCACTGCTGAGCCTCCGATAGACACCACTGCTGAGGCCTCGGTCGAAACCACTGCTGAGTTTTCGGTAGAGACCACTGCTGAGCCCCCGATAGAGACCACTGCTGAGCTCCCGGTAGAGACCACTGCTGAGCCTCCAATAGAGACTACTGCTGAGCCTTCGGTAGAGACCGCTGCTGAGTCCCCGATAGAGACCACTGCTGAGTCCCCGATAGAAACCACTGCTGAGCCCCCGGTAGAGACCACTGCTGAGCCCCCGGTAGCGACCACTGCGGTGCCTCCAATAGAGACTACTGCTGAGCCTTCCGTCGAGACAACTGTCGAGCCTTGGGTCGAGACTACTGCTGAGCCTTCCGTTGAGATCACTGTCGAGCCTTGGGTCGAGACTACTGCTGAGCC